CTGGCAGTGTTCAAGGGCGGGTGGGACACAGGGGCTTGGAGCAACCTGCTCTAGTGGAAGGTGTCCCTGCCTGTGGCAGGGGTTGGAGCTGGATGAGCTTTAAGGTCCCTTTAACCCAAAGTATTCCATGATTCTATGAAAAGACCAGTTTAAGGCAACATGATCTCAGGAGGTATTAATGACAGTTGTGGATACTGTAAGTGCATTGCTATGGATAAGCCACTTCTAAGATGGGAATTCCAGGAAACTCTCTTAGTGACCAGAGATTCAAATTTTATCAAGAAGTAACAGAAAGGTTCTGACTCTTGCTCAAGGTATTGGCCTTCATGAATAAAGACGTCAAGGCAGATCTGTGAAGACAGAGCCCTTATCTTCAACATAGTTTTAATCTATTCCTTTTCCACACATAGAGCCTCTTACGTGCTTGCAAATTGCAGAGTTCCCCTGTAATCTTTTCTGTTACAATGAAGTGTTATATCTAGCAATGATTCAATATCTCATTATTTGACATGATTATACTTGGAATTCAAATTCTCTGCAGTAAATTTCCATTGCTCAAATTCCTCAGATCCTCCACTTCCTTGGATTTCTTATTTCATCAGAAGAACGTGGAGAACATTTCCATATTCCTCTCTTTCATTACATCCCCACTTACTGGCTCTCAGAAGAGGAACTAGAAGTTTTGGATTACCTACAACTTGTCAGCAGTATCTTGGCTTATTTAATTAATATCTTTCATCTTTCTTTGTCTTTGGTGAGTACAGTAATCGACTGCTGTGCAAGATTAATAGATATCAAGGCCAGAAGGGACTACTGCGATCATCCAAGTCAGACTCCCCTCATCACACTAGCTACAGGGTTTCCCCAAGTTAGTTCTTGTTTCAAGCCTGATTCCTGGGGTTCTGTTAGAGTCTATTTTAATTAAAAACCTTCCAGTTGTGGGGAATTCTTGGTAAATGTTTCCAAAGGTTAATTACTTTCATTGTTCAAAATAAGCATTCTCTAGTTCTTCTCTGAATGAATTGATCCTTAATGGCCACATACCAGGTCTCATGTACTTGCCCAGGAGACTGAAGAGTCCTGCTATTACATTTCTGTTCCCCATGTAGCAGCTCTAACTATGATCAAGCCACCTTTTTAAATGCCACGTGTCTAGTAGGGGAAAAATACACATCATATTGTTCAGTGGTGTGTTGCCATGTAGATAAAGATAGAATCACAAGGCACACAGAGAGGGAATGGCAAAAAGAAATTAGTGTGAATGTTTCCTGACTGCAGACTATGCAAGAATGTAACTTTTTGCTTTGTTTTCACTTCTTAATGGAGATATTAAAACGAATTAATTAATCTAAAATGATAGATGCAAATGAACTATACTAAGCTGGTTCCAATAAACACTTTATGGTGTAGAAGTCTGGAACACATCCTCATTAGAAGGTTTCATTAATGACTCTGTTGTTTGCTTTCCAGCTGAGCACGGGCGAACATTCAAAGCATCATTAGCAGTCTTGGTCAGCCCCATCAATGTTGGTCTGCATGTTTCTATGTTTGTATATACAATACCTCTGACACAAGACAGAATTGTTGCTCTCCAGCAATGAAGATACACATACACAATCCAGTAAACAAATATTTAGACAGAGCCTATGTCTGCATTGGAAGAAATCCATGCCTTTAGGTAAAACTATTCTGCTTTTAGTTAAAGAAACCTCCAATCCTGCAAAGCAGTAAATAAATCTTAGGGGGGGTTTAATAGGCTGCTAAGAATTCTCAGAGCTGTCATCACCCCCGGGATGGCTCCTGTCTTTCATCAGCAATCCCAGGAAACATAAGACTTGCAATTAAGCTGTTCTAAAACTATAAATTTCTGAGTTAATAAATCACGGATCTTAAATCATAGACTCATAGAATAGTTTGGGCTGGAAAGGACCATAGGATCATCTAGTTTCAACCCCCTGCCATGGGTAGGGGTGCCTCACCCTAGACCATGTCACCCAAGGCTCTGTCCTGCCTGGCCTTGAACACTGCCAGGGATGGGGCAGCCACAGCTTCTCTGGGCACCTTGTGCCAGCACCTCAGCACCCTCACAGGGAAAAGCTTCTGCCTTAGCTCCAACCTGAACTGCCCCTGTTTCAGTTTGAACCCATCACCCCTTGTCCTATCACTTCAGTCCTCGATGAAGGTCCCTCCCCAGCATCCTTGTAGCCCCCCTTCAGATATTGAAGGCTGGTTCAGTGTATCAGGTTACTCAGTTATGAATTCAGATGTCCAAAATGGTGCTACAACAGGGTGTGGGGACACAGAAGTTGATCTCAGTGCCCACTGTAACAAATATAATAATAAATCACATCTATTTCATAACATTTCCCACCTGAGTATGTCAAAGCATGTTCCAAGCACTCATCAAGGAAGCATCATAACACATCTGCAGAGCAGCAAATTATGGCCATTTCCATTTTCTCCATGAGAAATGAGACTGAGAGAAGTCACCTAGCATGCCAATGGCAACACTGGAAAAGCACATTGACGTGCCTCTCCCTTCTGTGCTTTAAGTGGCAATGAGCATCACCTCCTCCCAAAGGCAGAAGTAGCTGGACTTCCCTAAGGATAAACTTAAAAATCTCATCTTAGGACTGTAAAATGTGCTCCAAAGCCACAAAATAAAGTGATTTTATTCACAATGGGATGCCAATAGTGTGAAGAGAAGGAGTAAGCAGAACAGGAAGATGATGTGTTTTACAGCTCTCTTCTGCCTCTAGAGATTATTCAAGTGCCTTTGGGTATTGAGAGAAATTTTGCATCTTTCAGTTATGGTGCTTGTGGCCATCTGTTTCAACAGATTGTTTAAAAGAAACGGAGCTGCAGACAATCTGTCTGAGCCTTTAGAGGTGAATGACTAACTTCACTCCACAATCAATTCCAACCAAATAAGATTTGCCTAATTTCCAGACCACTAACAGAATACTATAGAACTTCTCCTCTTCACTAGATTCATTTAGAGGTGGGAGAGGGACAGGAAAACGTCCCTCTAAAGATGACACCACCTTGTGCTTTACATGAGTGCCACCCTCAGGAGCAGATGTGAAGTGGAGGGAAGCTTACCTGTCAAAGATCTTCTGGGGCTGCAGCATGCCACGCATAATGTGAGTCATATGGTCTGCAGCAGCAACTACTTCTGGAGGAGGGTCGTATTTATTCACAGCAGCGACCTGTCGAGTGGCAAAAGAAAGAAGAGCAGTGATGTTACTGTTTCCAGCTCCTATAAGCTTAGCAGACCACTGTGAATAATGGTGGCTTCTTATTTATGAGGGTCAGTCTTTGGATTTGGCTTGTCTGTGGGCACAGAAATCTTTTGAGGAGATTCAAGCTCAGTTTGATAGATGGATGGAAGGCAGCCAGATGCAGCTCACCATCTGTAATAGTCACCATTTTACTGGAAAGCAAACAGGATGCCATATAAGATGCAAAGTAATTTTGCTTATGTTTTAATTATCCATTAATTTGCATCCTCTTAGTGCTGGTGGAAGATGCCAAAGTAAAATCCTTAGGGACTGAAGCCATTCATTTCTTTGCCAGAAGAGGAAAAAAATGGCCATTAAAAAAGTAAACAAACTGCAGTTTTCTCCTGACGATGCATTTCTGTCTTTCCTAGGTTAAGGAGCACTCAGACTCCAAGCATTCCCTCCATCCATTCTATGGAAAGCTCTGTTGAGGGCACTGACCACTAAGGAGTTACATATGTTTTGGTATTATGAATGCTACTCACTCAGAATCAGGTTAAGAACTACTGAGACATTTCAGATAAATCATCAAGTACCATCTAGCCAGCACTGCTGAAGACACTGCTTGAAGTTCTGATGACAGCCATGCCTGTATTAGCTAGTAGTGTGGTGCAACAGAAGTGGATCTTTAAAGCAAGATCTTCAGTAATCGGGACCCGAGTTCACGTTATGTTGGGAGAAGTGGAGGAAGGGAGCTCATTTCACTCTAGCTCATTTCATCCTTTGGTCTGAATTAGTGGCTAGTTGCTCCTTAGGTACCTATCATCTGCTTGAAGTTAAGTCCAGAAGGAGTCTAGTTCATGTAGAACCATAGAATGGTTTGGGTTGGAAGGGACCTTAAAGCTCCTCCAGCTCCAACCCCTGCCCCGGGCAGGGACACCTTCCACTAGAGCAGGTTGCTCCAACCTGGCCTTGAACACTGCCAGGGATGGGGCAGCCACAGCTTCTCTGGGCACCCTATGCCAGCGCCTCAGCACCCTCACAGGGAAGACATTGCAAGACTATTTCACACTGAGAATTAAGCATCTCAAATTGGGCAACTAAGGGGTTCGCTTCAAAACCACGCTTGGGTATGGTGGGTTGAGTTACACTCTGGTATTATCCCTTCTCTGTGGTCAAGACAGAGAGAGCCTGGCATTCAACAAGAACTCTAATATTTATGCAGTCAAAGCAATGAATTTCCAGGAAGGATCATTTTAAAGGATAATTCCCTGCAATCCAACCCCAGTTGGCAGCTGTTGATCCTAACAGTTCTAGCATGGCTTGGGCCCAAGTACTACATGCAGCAACCAAATTACAGTAAAGCTGCACAAGAGGGAAAGGATTCTGTTACAACAGAAAGTTGCTGTAAGCAGTCTGAGCAGGTTTGGTTTTGGGAGAAGATTTTACAGTGGGAGCTGTATGGAGCAGAACAGGATACAAGCAGCATTTTAACTTTCAGAGTTCACTTTGCTGTACACGATGCTAGAAAACACAGTGGTTATCACTTCAGAGTGTTTCATGAATGTAGTTGCCTGTTCAGGTTCACTAGTTGAATAACAATGGCTGCTAAGTAAATCTCTTCACTGAACTAAGTTTTTAGGTAAGCCTTGCATTTATACATACCACAACTGCTCCAGAAATTTTATTTTTATATATATTTT